CTGCCCACCCCTCCACTCCCATCGCCAGGACAACCCTGCCCGCCCGCCCCCCACCACCGTACCGCATGCCAAGCCAGGAAGCAGGCGCCCCTCGCCCCCATCCCAAGGCAGCAGCCGCAGAGAGCCGCGGTGTGCCCCCCGCGCGTGTGACCTTGGGCTTCTTTACCACCCCAGATACGACGACTACCACCACGAGCGCTGGCACAGGGTCCATCCCGCCATGGCAACAGCAGCAGGCGGCTGCCGCAGCTTCTCCAGGAGCCCCTCAGATGCAAGGCAACCCCACTATGGTGCCCCTGCCCCCTGGGGTCCAGCCGCCTCTGCCGCCCGGGGCCCCCCCCCCCTCCGCCGCCTCCGCCACCTGGTTCCGCCGGCATGATGTATGCCCCGCCCCCCCCTCCTCCGCCTCCCATGGACCCTTCTAACTTTGTCACCATGATGGGCATGGGGGTGGCGGGCATGCCGCCCTTCGGGATGCCTCCAGCTCCCCCACCGCCTCCACCACAGAACTAGACTCGGTTTTTTTAAGAAAATATATATTATATATAGAGAGAATTGGCCTCGTTTAAACACGCCGAACCTCACCATATGGAGCCAGACATTGGGACGCACGCATGTGATTGTGTGCACGCATGTGTGTGTGTGCACGCACCGGGCTGGGCCAAGCGGCCGAGGACTCGCTTGGGCACGGGCAGGTGATAGTAGGGGCGCCAGCTTGGGCTCTCCTGGCGCCCCGTAGCATCGAGTGTCTTCTTTGTCTTCTTTCTCTCCTCACCCAACTCCCTTTGCCTCTTCCCAAACCGGGCCGCCAGGATCCCTACCCGCGGCGGCGATGGCCCGAGCCATGAGAGTGAGGACTTTCCGCGCCCATTGGTGACCCTTCCAGGCAGACAGCCTCAGCAGCGCCCCTGGTGGACAGGATGGTTCGGCAAAGCAGCCTGAGTTATTTTTGTGGACGGAATCGGAACACGCTGGCTCCATATCGTGAATTTTTATTAATTGTTTTCTTTTTTCCTTTGTTATTTTCTTATCTCTTCCTTTCTTCAGACTCCGTCCAAGGAGATGCTCTCCCGGGCTTCTGCTGCAATTAGATTCCTTTTCCTTTCTCCATTCCTCGTTCTTCTTTCCAAGGAGAGAGGAACAAATGGTTTTTCCACACAGGCTTCGGCCACTCCAGTCAGGCTAGTTGTCGGGGTGTGCCCTTGGTTTTAAGACTTTCAAGGGGCCACAGCCACCCCCGAGGTGTTTGTTTTGTTTAAATGTGGGGTTTTGTCTTTACCACCCTCGTAGAATAGTGGGTTCATCTCCCGGCCTGGAGGCCGCCCCAAGACCTTGGACTTAGCTGCCAGCCCGAGAGTCCTCCCAACACTCCTGGGCACCTGAGCTGCCTCAGAGTCGATTTGTTCCTCTCCTTCCTGGAAGGCTTCCTTTCCCGTTTGATTTTACTCCCAAACGTCTGAATGTTTTGCAGTGTCTTAAGGGTTTGAACCCCTTGTTTTTCGTTCTGCTTTCTCTCCCCTCCCCCTTCACGGAGTGATTATGTTGACAAAAATGTAAAACGCGCGTTCTCTTCACTGGTTTATCTGCAGAGATTTCTCTGGGCTTTTTTTTTTTTCCTCTTTGGTGTATGATTCAGCACTGCGTTAAAGGGGGTGTTCCATTGAATAAAAGAGCAGTGTGTTTTTCTGGGTCTGTTTCTTCTCTCTACAGCAGCACCTACGGGCACTCTTGCACACACATAGCCCTGGGGAGCCCTGGGCCTCCATTAAGGAAGCTGCCTGCCTGCTGCTGTAGGGGGCAGCTCTCCCTTGTTTGTCAGTGATGAGCTGGGTCAGTGTCGGTCCTCCCTGTCACCCCTCATCCTCTGGTCCCTGTTCTTTTGAAGACACATCCCCCGGTCCTGGCACCCTCCCTCATACCCATTTGATGAGCTCCAGTTGCGGCTCATACTGGAAGCCGCCCCCCAGTGCAGACCTGGGGGTCTAGATGTTCTTGGGAGAGGCCCTGCTAAAGGTCAGGCAGCTAATCCTGCCAGCAGGCACAGCGGCTAAAATTAAATAACCACCAAGTGGCTTTTTCTGTCTGCTGGTGATGCGCCTGGTGGCGCACAGGCCGAGAAGCAGAGAAGGGGTGTCTCCCACCACCCCAGCCCTGGGAACCTCCAGGGAGACTCGGGCAGAGTCGTGCCATTAGAAGCCAGCCCCTCAGCCTTCCCTACTGCAGCTCTGGCTGCTCCACTGAGCCCGGGGAGGGGAGGGGAGGGGAGGGGAGCGAAGGCCACAAACGGCTGCAGGCCAGGCTGTGTTCCAGAGCCCAGCCCCTGTGCTTGGCTGCGGGTCTGCAGGAGTTAATGAAGCCTCCAAAGCAAGGTGAGTTCAGCTGGGTGCCTCAGCCCAACCTACTGGTAGGAGAGGGGAAGAGCTTTCCTTTGTTCTCAGCTGAGGGAGGGGAGGCGGGCCTGGCTACCCTCTCTGACCTTGGCTTCACCTCATTGCTTCTCCCTCGGCTCGGTTTCCCTGGTGGGCTCATTGGGCGGTTAATTAGCTCTTTGAAGCTCTAGAAGAGGCAAAGTGGAGCTATGTGGGTTTTAGAAATAAAATCAATAAATGACTTAACCACAGCCCAGCTATCTCCTGCCTCTCCCCTGGGGCCAGCTCTGTTCCTGTGCTCCCCTGCTCCCGCCTCAGCTAGTATTAGGATCTGGGAGAGAGAAAGCGGCTGATGGGGGCATCTGTTCAGGCCTTTCTCCAAGCAGCCTGAGGTCCTGACACGGAAGAGAGGGGCAGAAGGCTTGGTCCTCCACTGCAGCCCGGTTGCCACAGGTTGCCCCCCTCCAGCCCTGAGACCCCTCCTCCGCTCTCGTCACAGGACAGCCTATTTATGTTACTGCAGCATATCTGCCCACCCCGGCAGCACCGGGCTGAGGAGAGGTGCCAGTTGGGAAAGGTCACTGCCAGCTCTGTTACTGAGGCCGCCTGGCCCAGCACTCCCGAGAAACCCAAGGCGGGTCCCGGGAAACCTAAAGTCAGCGCCAGGGCTGAAGGGAGCTGGAAAATGGTCCAGACTGAATGAGCCTTCCAGACTGTCATGTTGGGGTAGAATCTAACCCTGGAAGAAGGAAGCATCTGGAAACATTGGGGGCCCCTGACATGGAATCAAAGAACCCGGAACAAGTCCGAAGCTCACTGGGCAGAGGAGGGCTCCACAGGCTTCGCATACAGAGGTTGGATTCTGTTCAGCCCTGCAGTGGTCCCAGGTAATGCTGGGAGCCCCTTAGTACTTGTGGCCCAGAAACGCCCAGTGACGGTGTTGAGCGGAGCAGAAAGGTGACCCTTTTATTGATGCTGGAGAAAGTTTTATTCGTGAATGGGAAGTTTGTGAGGGGCCAAACATGCTCCCAGAGGATTCTGTTCCAAGAAGCTCACCACCCCTCTCTGCCTACTGACCTGTCTCCAGGACGGATGCTCCAAGGGGTCAGTGGGGCCCACAGCCAGGAGGGTGTGAATGGGAGCAGAGAGCTTGTGTGGGCCAGGCACCATGCAGAACGCCTCAGTACTGGGACTTCTGGCTCTAGTCAGGGAATTGCTCCTGGAGGGCTCAGGACTGCATGGGATGGTGGGGATCAAATCCGGGTCACCTGTGTGCAAGGCAAGTGTGCTGCACCCTGTCCTGCCGCTCTGGCCCCAAGGTGTTTGCTGTCCGAAGCATAGCAGTGCAGAAGGCAGATTAGCACTGCTGTGTGTGGGAAGGCGGAGCTTGGTTCCTGCGCACACGTCTGATCAGAAAGTGGTGGCCACTTGGCATTTTGGCCCCAAAACGAGGCTGGTAGCTGAAAGCTGGGTGCTGTGTGGTGAGCTCCTGGGAAACAGCCCTGCTCTCAAAAGCTGCCCATTACTCTGCTCATCAGACTGGAACACCCTGTTCTTCCCGCGCCGCCTCTGAAATGGCACGAGGGCCAGGCTCCTTTCGCTCAAAGGACAGAGCTGCGTCCACCGTTGGCCTCCACCGGATGCGCAGGCCACTGCTGACTGGCAGGAGCTTCCAGCCCCCTTTGAGCATATAAACGTGAAGGAATCCAAGGCTGAGCCAAGCAGCCCATGGGAGGTCGCACAGCAGATGTGCTGGGGCCAGAGTAGGAGCCTGGATGTGCAGGAGGGGCCAGCGTGACCATCGGAGGGTCAGGGGAAATGACTGGGCCCAGCCAACTTCAGTTTCCCCTTCTGGGCACACAGGACTACATTCCCCAGGGGCCCCTGCACCTAGCTGGTGACCCTGGCCCAAGCTGGCCTGTAACTTGAGCATGCCTGTCAGCAGGTTATTTCAGAGCTGCTTTTGAGAGACAGCGACAGGGGAGCACAAACACTCTAGGAGCATTGGGGAGGGGGCAGGGCATAGAGACAGCCCGCACCCAAGCACCCACCGTCCTGGCCTTGGCCACCCGGTACCTCCCGCTAGCCGCTGCCTTCACTCCTGGCACTGCTCGGGGTTTGCCCAGTGCCTCCTGCCACCTGAACTCCGCTGGTGACGCCAGCCCCCCATCCCCCAGCCAGGGTTCTGGCAGCCTGCCCCAGCTCTGCCTGAGGTCTGCAGCCTCTTGGATGAAAGTCTAAGGCACAAGCCAAACAGCCTGGGGCAGGCGCGCCAGTCCCCGCTGACCTCCCCAAAGGGCCCACCATCCAGACCCCCTTCATTTACAACCCAAAAAAAGCCTCTGGCCCACTCTGCCAGTCGCAGCTAAGGGGAACGGACACCCGGGCATGAGCCTGGAGGAAGTGAGGCAGCAGCAGTCGGGGGCGAGAAGCAGCCAGGCTGGCTCTGGCCTGGACCAAACAGTCGCGCCAGGTCCTGCTCTCCCATCCCTTACTCCTCCCCTCGCCCCCAAAATAGCTTCCCGGGCTGCCAAAGCCCTCCCAGCGGGGGGCGGGGGGCGGGGCGCGGAGGCGGGGCGCCCTGCCCAGAGCTGGGCCTTAAATCCCCCAGCAGCAGGGGGCCTCCACTCGCCCCGCAGTCCAGGCAGTGTCCCCTGGCCCCGCTGCAGCCATGTCCCTGCCCCTGTCGGACCAGGATAAGAGGAAGCAGATCAGCGTGCGTGGGCTGGCCGGCGTGGAGAACGTCAGCGAACTGAAGAAGAACTTCAATCGGCACCTGCACTTCACGCTCGTCAAGGACCGCAATGTGGCCACCCCGAGGGATTACTACTTCGCGCTGGCCCACACGGTGCGCGACCACCTCGTGGGCCGCTGGATCCGCACGCAGCAGTACTACTACGAGAAGGACCCCAAGGTGCTCCTGAAGGCACCCCGGCTGGGGAAGGGAGATCTTGGGGGGGACCTTTGTGGGGTCAGGATTTTCTGCAGCCAAATCGGGGGTCCAGTTTCCTGGGTGGGAGCAGTCAGGGTGCCAGGTATGATCTACTGGTGTTGGGGGCAGGAGCAGGCCAGGTAGATGGGTGGTCAAAGACCGGCACCCACTTGGGTATAGGGATGCTGGGGGCGGGGGGCAGGAAGAGCCTGGCGGCCTGGGCTGGACCCAAGTGTAAGGACGTGTCATTGGCCACACATTGGTGTGTCTGAGCAGTGGGTGGGGCGGGGCCGTGGCAGCTGGGACCATGGGATCGAGTGTCTGTTGGGGTCAGGAGTAAATGTCAGCAACCTGAGACTCAGGGCAGGTGGGGGAGGGGCGGCCGTGGAACCCAGAGAGGATGGGGGAACCCAGGAGAACGAGCACCCCTTAGCATCCTGGGTCACGAGGGTCGGGTGGGGACCCCTTGCTTCTTGGGACTGAGATGTGAGGACCAAAGCTGGAACAGGAAGCAGCTGACTCTAGTCAAGGTCACTGTGAGACCTTGAGCCTTTGTTCCAGGGGCCTGGGCCCTCCTCTCCCGGGAAGCACTTGAAAGGGGCACTTCTGTGTGTCCTGCTCTGTTCCTGATGGGCATTTGGGAGGTTTGGTGCCCTGGAAGTGAGTTCTGCTTTTCCCAAGTCCCTCATTCCCTGGGGATGATCCAGCCAGCCCTTTTCCCAGATGAGGAAACTGTTGTTTCTGAGAAGAAAAGGACTTTGTCCAGAGTGGGAGGCCGCCTGAAGCCAGAGAGATAGTCTGCTTGCTTTACATGTGGCTACCCCGCGTCCTACCCCCCCCCCCCCCCCCCCCCCCGTAGCACAAGTTCCCGGAGGCTTGCCAGGAGTGATCCCCAAGTGCAGAGCCAGGAGCGAGCCCTGAGCACCACTGGGCATAGGCTTTAAACTCAATGAAAAGCAAAGTGAGGCGCTGGGGCCTTAGTACAGCAGGGAGGGTGTTTGCCTTGCACGCAGCCAACCCGGGTTCATTCCCCGATATCCCATATGGTCCCCCAAGCACCACCAGGAGTCATTCCTGAGTGCAGAACCAGGAGTAACCCCTGAGCATCACTGGGTGTGACCCAAAAACAACAACAAGAAAAGCAAAGTGAGGGAGGCAGTGTTGGTCCCCAGAGCTTACTTCCGTGGGGAGGAAGCATCTGGATTGGGAGGGAGCAGGAGGTCGGGTGGTGGGGGGGTGTGGGTTCTGGGCCCTAACCTGCCCCCTCCATGGCCAGAGGATTTACTACCTGTCCCTGGAGTTCTACATGGGCCGGACACTGCAGAACACCATGGTCAACCTAGCTTTGGAGAACGCCTGCGATGAGGCCGTCTATCAGGTGAGGGGCCCGGAGGAACCTTAGGGGGTGGCCCTGCCTCTGCACCTCACACCCTGACCACTGCACCCCTCCCCCCCTAGCTGGGCCTGGACATGGAGGAACTGGAGGAGATAGAGGAAGACGCAGGCCTGGGCAATGGGGGTCTGGGCCGCCTGGCAGGTAGGTGGGCAGGGCTGGCTGGGCGCAGGGCAGAGGGGTCCTGTGTGCTGGGTCCCCAACACCCCTCTCCCCGCATGCCCCCAGCCTGCTTCCTGGACTCCATGGCAACCCTGGGCCTGGCTGCCTACGGCTACGGGATCCGGTATGAGTTTGGGATCTTTAACCAGAAGATCTGTGGGGGCTGGCAGGTGAGACTTCTGGGGCCCTGACCTCCAGTGGGGAGGGGCGCACTTGTGAGGAAGAGGACCCCGGTTTTTTTTTCCCTCTGCGGAGAGATCAGGAACCATCCCTAACCTGTGTGGGAAGCATCCAGTCCCTTCTTCCTGGTCCCAGACCAGCTGGTGACCCCTAAAACAGGGAGTCCACACCTTAGGAACCTCTCAGCCTCCACACTCACAGAAGTCACGTTTGATACCCCACTTCTGGGGGTGGTCCATCCCGGAGCCCCTCATGTCCCCCCTGAGGTGCCAGCCTGGCTGTGACTCTCCCTCCTTCCTCCCTGACCCTCCCGGAGCTCAGATGGAGGAGGCCGACGACTGGCTTCGCTATGGCAACCCCTGGGAAAAGGCCCGGCCGGAGTTCACACTGCCTGTGCACTTCTACGGCCGAGTGGAACACACCAGCCAAGGGGCCCAGTGGGTGGACACTCAGGTGAGTGCCACACGTGAGTGGGGTCAATCAGAGGAAAACGGAAAAGAAAGCAGATTCCGAGGAGCTGGGACTCCCTTGCCAAGGAGTCAGGACTCAGAGAGGTTAAATGACTTAGTAGAAGCCACAGCCAGAGTCGGGGCGCAGGCGAGAAAGTACAGAGCAGAGAGAGGAAGGAGACAGCTGCCTCGCTGACACCCCTGCACACCCCGAATCCCTGTTCCCCTCCACCCCAACACTCATCAAAGGTAAACTCTAGAGACCCAGTCTCCTCCACATATATATTCTTTTCATTTTGGGTCACACTGGCAGCGCTCAGGGGGTGCTCAGGGGACTCTATAGGATGCCAGGGATCGAACCCGGGTCGACTGCGTACAAGGCAAATGTCCTACCCGCATTACTATGGCTCCGGCCCTTCCTCCATATTTTAATGGAAGTGTACCAGGAGACAAAGCAGTACCCCAGGAAGGGAGCCAGGGAAATAATTCAAAGCCATGATGGGGAGTCGTCTGCCCCAGAGTGGGAGAACCCTGCTTGGGCTACGGCCACATAGAGGAAGCGTTAGGCTTCCAGAATCGGGCTTGGCCTGCCAAAACCCAGGCCAGCTGCAAGGTTTTCCTCCGTTGCTGGATGCTCTGAGGCAGGGGGGTGGTAGGTTGGGGTAGGGGAGCCTGTCACTGCAGTCAGGGGCTGCTCGGTGCCCAAAGGAGCAGGCAAGTGGCCCTGCCTTGGCAGAGAGTGATCAGGGCTGGCGCAGGCAGCTTTAGTCGCTGCCCCTTAGAATTCTCTTAGTGATCCGGGCATCAGACTTCAGATACTCTTTTTTTTTTGCTTTTTGGGTCACACCCGGCGATGCACAGGGGTTACGCGTTACTCCTGGCTCTGCACTCAGGAATTACCTCTGATGGTGCTCAGGGGACCATATGAGATGCTGGGAATCGAACCTGGGTTGGCCTCATGCAAGGCAAACGCCCTACCCTCTATACTATTGCTCCAGCCCGAGACTAGATACTCTTGAGCTCTGGGACTCCTTGTGCCTGGCCCTGGGCTCCCTGGCCTTCTGCTAAGCCTGTACTCTAACTCCAGCTCAGGCAGACTAGCCGGCTCACCTCCCTAAGGTCTGGGAGGTATGTGGAGGAGTGTTGAGAAGCTGGGGTGCCCCCTCTCTCTTTGGATTTTTGGGTCACACATGGTGATGTTCAATGGTGACTCTTGACTGTGCACTCAGGAATTAGCTTGGCAGTTCCCAGGGGACCTGGTGTACGGGATGCTGGAGATCGAACCCTGGTGGGCCACATGCAAGGGAAAAGCCCTCTTTGGTGGGCTCTGGCTCCAGGGGTGCCCGTCGTGAGTGAGGGCTGAGGCCAGAGAGCCTGAGAGGTTGTTGAAGTGTCCCCTGGAATCCACTAGAACTTGGGGTTTGGGGCTTGGGGGTGCAGGAGCCAGCCCCCACCATCACACCCTGCACCCGCAGGTGGTGCTTGCCCTGCCTTACGACACACCCGTGCCCGGCTACCGCAACAATGTCGTCAACACCATGCGCCTGTGGTCAGCCAAGGCCCCCAACGACTTCAACCTCAAGGACTGTGAGTGTGCTTGGGGTGGCAGCCCGCTCCCCCTCTGCCCTGCCAGGTCCCCGCTTGACCCTGTCACTGTGTTCTCCCCTCAGTCAACGTGGGTGGCTACATCCAGGCAGTGCTGGACCGAAACCTGGCTGAGAATATCTCTCGTGTCCTGTACCCCAACGACAATGTATGTCACCTCTGGGGTGCCTGGGTGCATGCAGGAGAAAACAAAAATGTGCTGGGGTCCTAATCACCCCCAGGTCGCAATGCCGACCTCCGTGTCCTCGTCTCGCCTCTCATTCTTTTGGATTTGGGGAGGCAGGGGGTTTGCTAGCTGGGACTTGAGCTGTTCCTGACCCAGCTTAGGTCAGGTGTCATGGATTGGTGGTTCAGCGCTCAAACCGGGCAGTGCTGGGGCCACCAGGACTACCCAGGGGGCGCTGGTGGAGACATGTAGTGCTTGGGATTTTTGGGTCTTGCATAATAAGCCAGACACACTCCAGCCCCTTGAGCTGCGTGGGGGTTCTGGCCACTCCATAAAATGGGAGCCCACTATGGGGGAGTTCTTTCTTCCCTGGAGATCCCCACCATGTTTCTGGTCCTCGAATACCTCCCTTCACGGCCCCCATTACAATTTTGGGGGACCATGAAATCCTGAGTCCTGAGACCCTGAGTCCTGAGGCAGGGTCTTGATGGAGGTGAAAAATTCTCTGGACTCTGCCCACAGCACCAAGACCCCGCCCACCTCGCACTGGCCCCGCCCCACGTTTCAGGCCCCGCCCCCACGGGCCCCTCTACTCTCCCCCCAGTTCTTCGAGGGCAAGGAACTGCGGCTGAAGCAGGAGTACTTCGTGGTGGCTGCCACCCTGCAGGACATCATCCGCCGCTTCAAGTCCTCCAAGTTCGGCTGCCGCGACCCTGTGCGCACAAGCTTCGATGCCTTCCCGGACAAGGTGCCCTGGGAGCCCCCGTCTGCCCCTCCAGCCTTGACCCCTCATCGCTGTGTGTGCAGGGGACCTGCTCAGGGGCTCCTCTTAACAGACACGTAGCCTGGGTCTCTCCTGCTGTAGGACACACATACACACACACACACACACACACACACACACACACACTCAACAGGCACACAGCCTGGGCCTCTCTTGCTGTAGGACACACACACACACACACACACACACACACATACCTTAACAGACACACAGCCTGGGTATCTCCTGATGTAGGACACACACTTGCATACACACACATACACACACACATCTATCAACAGGCACACAGCCCGGGTCTCCTTCTGTTAACACACACACATGTACACACACACACAAATACATACATACACACATTTCAACTGGCACATAGCCTGGGTCTCTCCTGCTGTTAACACACACATGCACGTACACACACACACACACACACACACTCCTCAACAGGTACACAGCCTGGGTCTATCCTGCTATAGGACATACACATGCACGCACACACGCACACACACATGCCTCTCAACAGACACACAGCCTGGGTCTATCCTACTGTAGGACACACACATGCACATGTACACACACACACACACACGCCTCTCAACAGGCACACAACCTGGGTCTCTCCTGCTGTAGGACACACACACACACACAAGCACACCTCTCAAAGGGCATACAGCGTGGGTCTTTCCTGCTGTTAATGCAAACACACGCGCGCGCACACACACACACACACACACACACACACACACACACACACACACACCTATGAGCCCTGAGTATGACTGCTTTCCGCACAGCTAAGACCAGAGCTGGGCCCTGGTAGGGCGCGTTCTGATGGGGGGCTCAGAGTGGCATATGACTCCTTTGCCCCTTCCCCAAGGTGGCCATCCAGCTCAATGACACCCACCCCTCCCTGGCCATCCCTGAGCTGATGAGGATCCTGGTGGACCTGGAGCGGCTGGACTGGGATAAGGTGGGCCTGGAGACAACCTCCTCACTGCCTCCTCTCCCAGGGCATGGGGAGTGGAGGGATACGAGCGGAGCCCCGCACAGACGCCAGCTGGGTGTCCTGGACCCTGGCGTGATCCTGGCAGACCAGGGGCTGGGGACGGGGATGCGCCCAACTTCTGACTCCCTGCATGCCCGCGGCAGGCCTGGGACGTGACGGTGAGGACTTGCGCCTACACCAACCACACGGTGCTGCCAGAGGCTCTGGAGCGCTGGCCTGTCCACCTCCTGGAGACGCTACTTCCCAGGCACCTGCAGATTATCTATGAGATCAACCAGCGATTCCTCAATGTGAGTTGCGTTGAAAGCGTGGGTTCAGGGTGAGACTGGGGATGGGGCTTGGTGAGGGCTGGACCCCAGTGGGCGTCACCTCCAGTGGGGCGTGGCATCCAATTGGGGCGTGGTCTCAGGTGGGGGCGGGGCCTCTGATGGGCTGGGCGGGGCCTCGGCTGTGCGGACACCCGGCTGGGTAGGGGCTGACCCCGGCTGTGCACGGTCCCCTGGCCGAACCTTGGGCTCTTCCACGCAGCGGGTAGCGGCCGCGTTCCCTGGGGACGTGGACCGGCTGCGGCGCATGTCGCTGGTGGAGGAGGGCGCGGTGAAGCGCATCAACATGGCCCACTTGTGCATCGCTGGTTCGCACGCGGTCAACGGCGTCGCACGCATCCACTCGGAAATCCTCAAGAAGACCATGTGAGACCCTCCCCGTGTGGGACTGCGCCTCCCCACCCTCCAGCCAGGACCCACTAGGCCAGGACCCACCAGGACAAGTTCCAGCCCGTTCTGTCTCCCCTAGCAGGCCCCGCGAGCTGGTTCAGACACCAGAACTTTCTACAATGCAATCCCCACCCCGTGACCCCTGGATCCCCTCCATGCATGCCCCTTCCAGCATCCTGTCACTGCGTACAGGGTTAGCGCCCCACAGAGGTGAGGTCCCCTTCATCCTGTAGGGGTGAGATGTGACTCCTCTCTACCCCTGCCCTGAAGCTTCAAGGATTTCTATGAGCTGGAGCCGCATAAGTTCCAGAATAAAACCAACGGCATCACCCCGCGGCGCTGGCTGGTTCTGTGTAACCCAGGCCTGGCAGAGGTCATCGCTGAGGTAAGGGAAAATCCCTGTGACCAGCTGTGGTATGCTTCACTCTCCAAACCCTGGGTTTTGCACCACTATTGAGAGGGGGGGTGATCTTTGCTTGCTGAAGGGGCTTGTGTGGGCTTCTGGAGGCCCAGGCCAGGAAGGACAACCTCCTGGTTCACATTGAATGGAGGGCTTCAGCAGTCACTCCTAAAACTAGACCAGAAGGGGATTAGGAGCAGGGTCCCAGATCATTGCTCTGTTAGGAGGAAGCTAGCAGGGAAGCATGTAGGGGTCAGGTGGGACTGAGGGTCAGGGGTCATAGGGATGCCAGGCAAGAGGGACCCCTCTCTGATGCAAGATGGAAGAGGGGTATGGGGGAGATCCGTGTTTTTTTTTATTTATTTTTTTATTAAAAAATTTTTTAATAGTGAGACATCATGAGGTACAGTTGCAGACTTACACATTTTTGTGCTTGGGTTTCAATTATACAATGATCAAATACCCATCCCTCCACCGGTGCCCATTTTCCACCACCACAGATCCCAGTATCCCTCCCACCCCCCTTTCCCCCCATCCCTGTGTTTTTTAAATAGTTTTATTTTTTGAATAATTTTATTAGTTTATTTTTATTTTTATTTTATTTTTTGTATTTGGGACACATCTTACAGTGCTTGGAGCTTATTCCTGGTTCTGTGCTCAAGGGTCACTCCTGGCTATGTTCGAGGAACTATATGTGATACTATACAACTATGCTTTCTTAAAAAGAAAAAAAAACAAGTAAAAATGTTTTACTTGGAGAAATATGAGGGGAGAGAAAAAGAGAGAAATATGTGTTCAAGAGATAATACCGAGGACCTGAGCAATAGCATATTGGGAAGTGGGTTTACATTGCACATGGCCAACCCATACTTGATCCTCAGTACCACGTATGGTCCTCCAAGTCTGCCAGGAGTGATCTCTGAGTGCAGAGCAAGGGTCAGCCCTGAGTACTGCTGAGTATTGTCCAAAAACCAAAGAAAGAGAAAGACAGAGACAGAGAGTGAACAGGCATCTCCAAGGGAACAAGCTAAGCGTGCACATCTTGGGTAGAGATATAGGCCAGTCCCCGGGGTGGGGATGACTCTTCTGGCATCTCTGCAGCGCATCGGGGAGGACTACATCTCTGACCTGGACCAGCTACGCAAATTGCTCTCCTTTGTGGATGATGAAGCCTTTATCCGCGACGTGGCCAAAGTGAAACAGGTAGTGGGGAGGTTGCTAGTGGGGAGCACCATGTCAGGGCTAGAGTGGAGCATTCTGGGGGTGGGTTGCAGCTCAGGGACGGACCAGAGAAAAGTGCTAAAGCTTGGCAGTTGGCAGAAGTTGCCTAGCAGAAGGCATCCTCTAGCCTCCCTAGATGAATGCTGACATTGATTAGTCATGTCTGCCTGGGTGCAGGCAAGGATGAAGGATGTGAGCTTTCTAGCCTCCATCTCCAGGCCAAGAAATGCACTGGCTGAGGCCTAAAGGTGAGCTCTGCCCCCCTCCTTCTCCACTTTTAGGAAAACAAGTTGAAGTTCTCTGCATATCTTGAGCGAGAATACAAGGTCCATATCAACCCCAACTCACTCTTCGACGTCCAGGTGAAGCGGATTCACGAATATAAGCGCCAGCTCCTCAATTGTCTCCATATTATCACCCTGTACAACCGTGAGTGGGCAGGCTGGGACCCTTTCCCGGCCTCCTCTCTGGCTCTCTCCCAGCACAATTATTACTGTTTTCTAATCAACACTGTCTTGGGCTGGGGCCATAGTGATAGCACAGCGGGTAGGGTGTTTGCCTTGCATGTGGCCAACCTGTGTTCAATTCCCAGCATCCTGTATGGTCCCCTGAGCACCGCCAGGAGTAATTCCTGAGTGCAGAGCCAGGAGTAGCCCCGGTGCATCACTGGGTGCGACCCAAAAAAAAAAAAAAAAAGACAACACTGGTCATGGGACAACTCCAAGGATCATGTGCCCCAGTGGTCCAGAGAGGCTCAGAGTGGCGGGACATAGCAGATGTGGGGTCACATGACAAAGGGTGGCTCAAGTCAGGCCCCCCTGTCCCTTGGCCTGGCCTGACTGGGTGGTGCTCTTGGGATCCTCAGCCACTGGGACAGCCTGTCCCTTGAGGTCTTGTTCTTTCTCCACAGGCATCAAGAAGGAGCCCAATAAGTTCATCGTGCCTCGGACTATCATGATTGGAGGGAAGGTGAGATGCCAAGCCAGACCAGGACTCAGCTCTGTGCTCTCGGGAGGGAAGTGGGGGCAGGTGGAGCTGACCCCAGACTGTACCCTGACAGGCGGCTCCTGGGTACCACATGGCCAAGATGATCATCAAACTCATCACGGCCATTGGCGACGTGGTCAACCACGACCCGGTGGTGGGGGACCGGCTGCGCGTCATCTTCCTGGAGAACTACCGTGTCTCATTGGCTGAGAAAGGTGGGGGAGGGGGTCTTTCCACCCATGGGGACCCTGGGGAGGTGCTTGAAAGAAGATTCTGGAGAGAGCAGGATAGAACCAGGAACCTCTCCCTTTGTGGGGCACTTTGGGCAGTACAGAGGGAAGTTAGGGGATGAGGACTGTCCTGTCCATTCAGTGGAGCAGGGGGTGCTGGGAAGAGTCCAGCTGTTCAAGAATCCAGGTGCTGGAGGCATAGTCCAGGGGTAAAGGTGCTTGCCTTGTGTGCAGTTGACCCGATTCAATCACTTGGTCCTCTGAGCACCTCGGAGAGTAGCCCCCAGCACTACTGGGTATGCCCCCCGCCAAGAAACAAAAAAGAATCGTCATGAGGGGCCAGGGATATGGCTCAAGGGGCTGGAGCACGTGCTTTGCATGTGGGCCTAACCCCTGGCACTGCCTGGTCCCCCAGCACCTCCGGATGTGACACCAAAACATCCACTGAGCCATGAGCAGGAGGGCGAGAGGGAGACTCAGCTGGTGAAGCCTGGAGGGCCGGGGTGGGGGTGCTTATGGCCCAGGGCATCCCAACTCCTGAGTGCCAGGCGGTGGGAGGCTATTGGTGGCGCTGAGCATGTCCCTTTGCCACTGCCTTGCAGTGGTGCCCGCCGCTGACTTGTCCGAGCAGATCTCCACTGCGGGCACCGAGGCCTCGGGCACTGGCAACATGAAGTTCATGCTCAATGGGGCCCTGACCATCGGGACCATGGATGGGGCCAACGTGGAGATGGCCGAAGAGGCAGGAGAGGAGAATTTCTTCATCTTCGGCATGCGGGTTGAAGATGTGGAGAAGCTTGACCAGAGAGGGTAACAGGGTAGCCGGGCCTCACCTCCAGATCTTACAGCCCTGGGCAGGAGTCCTGATGGTGGCTGCAAGACGGGGAGACTGGGAGCAGGATGTCTTTGCTATGGCCGTTAGGATGCCAAAAATATTTTAGGGGGGTGGTGGGGGCCGGGGAAAGGAGTTTAGGTCACACCTGGTGGTATTTAGGGGACCACACAGTACCAAACCTCATTCAGAGTCTGCTGTATGCAACGCAAGTGCATTGATCTCTGTAATATCCCTCCAGCCCCCAATTCTGAAACCTTTTTTTTTTTTTTTAGGTTTTGGGGCCACACCCAGTGGTGCTCAGGGATCACTCCTGGATGAGGGGCCTGAGGGACCATGTATGGTGCCAGGGATCAAACTTGGGTCAGCTGCATGCAAGCAAGCACCTTTCTCACTGTAGTACCATCTGGCCCCTCCAATCCTAAAAATTCCAATTCTGAAAACTCTTGGCACTGTTTGGTCCCCTGAGCACTGCTAGGAGAGACCCCTGAGCACCACCAGCTGTGGTTCAACAGCCAAAATCCAGACCCAATCTCTAAGAAACAAACAAATGTGCAAAAAAAACCCAAACAAACAAACAAAAAGGTTAATGGAAAGTGAAAAGATAGAAGTAATAGAACTGGGGCTGGAGTGGTAGTACAGCGGGTAGGGCACTTGCCTGGCCTTATGCCTGGCATAAGGCCAACTGGGGTTCAATACCTGGCCCCACATAGGGTTTCTCTCCCACCACCCCCTCTCTGATCTCGCCAAGGGTGATCCCTGAGGACACTGCCAGGAGTAAGCCCTGAGCTCTGCAAGATGTGTTAAAAAAAAAAAAAAGAGTAATAGAACTGAAGGAAAAGGAAGAGAAAATGCTAGTAGTCCTAAGTGATAGTTATTTTTAGATTGAAAGTAAAGTGAATTTATGAAGACTATTATATTTATGGACTGGAAATAAAATTAAATGCTTACTTCTTTAGCGGCCATGGTAGGAAGGGAAGCATGGAATTAGTACTTATCTGGACTTGTGGTTAGAAATGCAGTTTTTCAGGGGGTGGTGAGGTAATATTGTGGGGGGGCACTTGCCTTGCACAAGGCCAACCTTGGTTTGGTCCCTGGCGACACATAGGGTCCCCTGAAGAGTCATTTCTGAGCACAGAGCCAGGAGTAAGCCCTGCCGCCAGGTGTAGCCTCCAAACAAAACAAGCAAAAAAGAAACCCAGTTTTTCAGGGGACATGTTTTCCTGGAATTACATTAAATATCATTACATTAATTATACTAAATATCATTAGGGGGATGGAGAGAGATAAAGCAGGCAGGGTGCTTGTCTTGCGTGCAGTTGACCCAGGTCTGATCCCTGGTAACCTTCCATATGATTCCCCAAGCACTGTCAGGAATAATCCCAGAGCAACAAGCCAGGAGGAAGCCCTAAGCATCCCTGGGCATGACCTCCCAAACCCACCAATCAACCAACCCAGACAAACCCACACAAAGTTGAGGCCAGATAAATACTATAGCAGGTAGGGTATTATATAGGTGTTAACCAAAAAAACAAAAAAAAACTTTTTTTCTTTTTGGGTCACGCCTGGCGATGCACAGGGGTTACTCCTGGCTCTGCAGTCAGAAATTACTCCTGGAGGTGCTTGGGGGACCATATGGGATGCTGGGAATCGAACCCGGGTCGGCTGCGTGCAAGGCAAACACCCTACCCGCTGTGCTATTGCTTCAGCCCAACTTTTTTCTTATTAGAGAAGAAATTCATGTCCATCAGTTGGAATAGTATGAAATCACAAAGAATAATGCCTAAAAACACACGTTTTTGGTGGAGGAGTTGACAAAGGGCTGGAGCACCTGCTCCGTGTCCTGGGGCCCTGGTCTGATCCCCAGAACTGTCTGGTCCTTCCTTCAGGTACTGGCTGGTAGTGAGTGAGGTGAGGGTGAGGGGGGGTCTCTGAACAAAACAAAAACCACAGTTCTCTTTTTTTCATAAGTATTTACCTGTATATAATACATGCATATACATATAAACAGCTCAGGGGTTACTCCTGGCTCTGCACTCAGGAATTACACCTGGCGGTGCTTAGGGAACTATATGGGATGCTGGGAATCGAACCTGGGTAGGCCGCGTGCAAAGCAAACGCCCTCCCTGCTGTGCTATCACTTCAGCCCCCTTTTCTATTTTTTTGCTGTTGTTCTGGAGCTATAGCACAGGGGTAGGGCGTTTGCCTTGCGCGCAACCAGCCTGGCCGAGCCGGGTTTGATTCCTCTGCCCCTCTCGGAGAGCCCAGCAAGCTACTGCACGGCACGGCAAAGCCTGGCAAGCTCCCCATGATGTATTCGCTATGCCAAACACAGTAACAAGAAGTCTCAAAATGGAGACGTTACTGGGCCCGCTTGAGCAAACCGATGAACAACAGGAGGACAGTGACAGTGACATATAAACACATATACACATGGTAGCACTGTAGCACTGTCCTGTAGTACTGTCCTCCCATTGTTCATTGATTTGCTCGAGTGGGAACCACTAACATCTCACAACAAATTGTGAGACTAGTTGTTACTGTGTTTGGCATATCGAATACGTCACGGGGAGCTTGCCAGGCTTTGCCGTGCGGGCGAGATACTCTCGGTAGCTTACCGGGCTCTCCGAGAGGGGTGGAGGAATCGAACCCAGGTCGACCGCCGCATGCAAGGCAAACGCCTTACCCACTTGCTATTGCTCCAGTCCCATATCCATTTTTTTTTTCCCATTTTGGGTCACACCCGGTGGTGCTCAGGGATTACTCCTGACTCTGCACTCAGGAATCACTCCTGGCCATGCTTGGGGGATCATATGGGTTGCTGGGGATCAAACCCAGATCAGCTGCATGCAGAGCAAACGTCCTCCCTGCTGTACTATCACTCAGTCCAGTATTCATTACTTGGGAACTGTCTGTAGCACGGTCCTCCCATTGTTCATCAATTTGCTTGAGCAGGCACCAGTAACGTCTCCATTGTGAGACTTGTTGTTGCTGTTTGGCATATAGAATACGCCACGGGGAGCTTGCCAGGCTTTGGTGTGCAGGCGAGATACTCTCGGTAGCTTGCTGGGGTCTCCGAGAGGGGCGGAGGAATCGAACCTGGGTTGGCCAGGACGGCCGCGTGCAAGACAAATGCTCTACCCGCTGCGCTATCGCTCCAGCCTTGGGAACACTATAGATATAATTTTATATTTTGGGGGGCACACCTGGCAGTGCTCAGGGCTTACTTACTCCTGACTGTGCTCAGGAATCACTCCTGGCAGGACCATATATGGTGCCAGGGATTGAACCTGGGTCGGCTGTGTGCAAGGCAAGTGCCCTACTTGCTGTACTATCTTTCCAGACTCAATAGATTATTTTTTCCTTTTTTTGGTCACACCCAGTGATGTTCAGGGGTTACTCCTGGCTCTGCACTCAGAAATTACTCCTGATGGTGCTTGGGGGACCTATGGGATGCCGGGGTTCAGACCAGGTCAGCTACGTGCAAGGCCCTCCCTGCTGGGCTATGGGTCTGGCCCCTCAGTAGAATTTTGAAGGATGCTCTCATTTAAAAAGGCACTTTTCGTGTCATTTATCTTCACCTTGTTTTCCCTCTTTCTTTTTTCCTTCTAGAGGTTACTTTTAGCAATGCTGAGGGTAGGGCATGTGGTACCAGGATCTAACTCAAGGCGTTGCACCTACTCAGCCTGTGTTCTACTGATAGAACTCTCCCGCCTCCCCACATAAATGTCACATGTTTGACGTGTGTTCCGAACCTGGAACGTGGACAGGCCTGGCCTTATTTAACTGTTTCTTGTGGTTAGGTATCAAGATTGATTCCCTTGTTCATGTAAATATCATCGGGACAGCGGCCACCATATCATAGTTCTTAGAAGGGGATATTCCAAAAGTAGCATTTGGCATTCGGTTCCCACTGCCAAGTTGCTTTCTGGAAAGTTGCTACCATTTTACACTCCTACCCACAGCTTACAAGCGCTGGCATCACGTGTTTTGATGGTGAGGCTTGTCTAGAGAGTTCAGACTTTTTTTGTTTTTGCCACACCTGGCAGTGTTCAGGGCTTCTGGCTCTGTGCTCACAGATCACTCTTGGCAGGCAGGCTGGGGAGACCATATGGGGTGCCGGGGATCGAACCTGCATTGGCTGTGTGCACGGCAAGCGCCCTCCACTCTGTAGTATCAGCCCCTTTTAAGGATATTCTTGGTGGAGTCCAAGGTGGTAGTACAGTGGGTAGGGCACTTGCTTTCAGCCAAACTAGGTTCAGTTCTTAGGTCTGCCAGGATTGACCCCTGAGTGCAGAGCCAGGAGTAAGCCCTGACAACTACTGGGCGTGAACCCCAAACAAAACCAAAGAAGGATGTGCCTGAAGACAGAGGGGCCTGTAGGCAAGATCAGGGATGTGTTCTGGTGGGGTGGGGGGTGGGGGTGTAGAGGGGACTCCATGCAGAGCTTCCGGGGTGGGGTGGGGGAACAGGGATTAGGACATTGTGGGAAGAAAGGGTTCTTGGTTTGGGGCCTTCATTCAGATCTTCCTGCCCTCCCCCATCTCATCTCCCTGACACACGTGGGTGGTGGGGGGGATGAAAAGCTGAGAAGGGAGGGGCACCCTGGCAAGCACCCCCAGAGACATCGGCAGCTACATAGAGAGAGCCTGGGTTTTGGGCTCCCCAGATTTTCTCTGCAGGAGAGCCAGGAACTCCTTTGCAGGGTGCTGACCACGCCCCTGCATCCCACAGGTACAACGCCCAGGAGTACTATGACCGGATCCCTGAGCTTAGGCAGATCATTGAGCAGCTGAGCAGCGGTTTCTTCTCCCCCAAGCAGCCTGACCTGTTCAAGGACATCGTCAACATGCTCATGCACCACGATCGGTGAGCAGCCCCCCCCCCCCCCACACACACCTCGCCCACAGGTCAGGGTTCAGGTGCACGGTGTGGGGGCTGGACAGGACCAGGGCTCCCCTGGAATCAGCAGCGGCAGCCTCCAGCTCCCTGGAAGTCCATGGGGTGGAGTGCGTTCGGCCCTGGCCCCCCTGAAGCTTGCCGCATCTCCATTCGCCTCCAGGTTCAAAGTCTTTGCCGATTACGAAGACTATATTAAGTGCCAGGAGAAAGTCAGCGCCCTGTACAAGGTGAGGCGCCTGAGCGGGGGCGGCAGGGCGGCCCTGGCGGGGATGCCCTGCGAGGAAGGTGGGGATCCCGCTGGCAGAGTGAACCCAGAGCTTGCGTTTGGCCGGCAGAACCCCCGGGAGTGGACTCGGATGGTGATTAGGAACATCGCCACCTCCGGCAAGTTCTCCAGTGACCGCACCATTGCCCAGTACGCCCGGGAGATCTGGGGTGTGGAGCCTTCCCGCCAGCGCCTGCCGGCCCCTGATGAGATCTGAGCCTCAGACCAGACGCGTCCCCCCCCCCCAACTTCCGTAGCCAGCCTCAGCTCCTTCTCCGGCGGGAGGGGAACTGCAGTTCTCTCAAGCCTCTTCCTGAACCCCCCTGCCCGATTACCCCCAACCTCCAGGTCCCACAGTGCCCAGTGTGACTCAAGACACAGCCCGTCTCCTATTTATGCACCCCTCCGACCGCACCCATTCCCCAATAAACCCATTCTCCTTGGGAGCCTCATTACTATTCTCTCTGTTGGGAAATATTTTTAGTTCTTGACGGGCATCACAGCAGCTGCGCAGTGCCGGTGCAGTACCCCACCCGCGGCAGGTGCGTCCCCTTGGAAGGGGGGCTGTGGGGGCGGAGCCGGGGCTCTTCGGCCTTCTTCCCGCCCGCAGCCTCCACGCCTCTTCCCAGGGTTGTGTCCATACTAGGTCAGCTGTCCGCCAGGCTGGCCGGGGGCGGGGCACCCGCCTGGGCGGGGCCAGAGGGGCTGGGAGCTGGACTTGGGGTGAGGGACCTCGGTACTACCCCACCCACGGTGCCGGGGGCGGGGCGGGGTGGGGGCGGGACCGGCGCTTGATTGGCACTGTTCGGCCCCGCCCCCGCCCCGCCCCACTGCGGCGTAGAGGGGCCTCCTAGCAGGTGGCCACGCGGGTCCTAAGTCGGGGGAGTGCTGGGGCGGGGGACACGCACAGAATGGCTTAGGCCAGTGCGGCTCCCTCTCATTCTGGGGAAACTGAGGACCATGAAGGGCCTATGGCTAGCCTAGCATTGCCAAGATTGAAGTGTGGGGGCGGTCCTGATGCCCAGGTGGCAGGGGAGGGGTAATTCTCAGCAGGTTTGGGGGCCGGTGGTTTCACAGTGACTGTGTTTGAAACCAAAGGACCGGAAACGGTTACTGGCTCCGACCCTTGGGGACCCCAACCGTCTGGCGGCTGCCCCTCCCAAGTTCCTCCTTGTGGGGGCTGGGGCTGGGGGGCAGATCTCCCGCGGTTTGCAGCGGCTCCTCCCGCCGGCCCGCGCGCCGCGGGCTTCGGGAGGTCCCAGTCCCTCCTAGGGAACTCGACACCCCCAGCCCCCCTAGACCTCGCGGCCCGCTCGCGCTCCAGGTAGCCGCATCTTCACTCCTCGCTCGCCCAGGCCCCTCTCCGCGAAATGCTCCCGTCGTGCCTAGCCCCTCCCCCATGCTGTCACCGGGACCCTCGGCCTCGGATCTCCACCCGGGCGCCCCGCAGGAAGACACCCGGCCCGGGGCCGGGTTAGTCTAGTGAGAACGGTTTGTCTCGAAAACAGGAACCCGGGGGGCTGGGCGGGGCGCCCCTTCCCCACCGCAGTCCGCTTCCTGCCCCTCCCGGTTTCCTCTGCCCAACGCCAGGCGGGGCGGGGGGCAAAGGGGTGTCTGGGGTGTGTCGGGGGGAGGGAGGACACTCGGGCTCTCTGCCCCCTTGCACGTCCTGCGCGGCCTGACCTTCGCGCGCCCACCCTCGGCGCGGCCCGTGGCGCAGCCCCCCGCCCGCGGGCTCCGGGGCGGCGCGGCAGGGGAGGGGTTAAGCTGCCGCAGGGACTCCGCGTGCGGGGCGCCCCCGGTGCGGAGCGGGGCGCGGGGCGCGGGGCTGGAGGCGGGGCGGGGGCGGGGCGGGGGCGGGCGCGGGGCTGCGGCGCGGGGAGCAGGCGGGAGCCGCAGCCGCAGCGAGGCCGCCGGGCGGCGACGAGGTGGCGCGGGCCGGCCGGGTGCGGGCTCCGGCGCGCGGGTCCCGAGTGAGTGAGCGAGCGCGGGCGGGGCGCGGCGCGGGAGAGGCCGGCCTCTCGGGGGTCCCCCGGGGCGTCGCGCGCGGGCCGGGGGCGGCCGGCGTGGGGGGGGTCGCGCGCGCGGAGCCTGCGATCGGTGTCGCGGTGGGGGCCGCGTAAGGGGCTGAGACCTCAGGCCGAGGCACACTCGGAGAACCGCGGGAGGGGGGGACAGTCACGGCGCCCCCCCGGCTGTGCCCGGCCACGCCTCGGCTGCACCTTCTCCCACGGGGCCCCCATTTGACAGATGAAACTATCAAGGCTCCGAGAGGTCAAATGACTCTCAAGGTCACATCGCGAGGAAGCGGCCGAGAGGGCTGGGGACGTCTGTGGGGGGCTCCCCGGGAAAGTCCGCGAGAGAAGCCCGCAGGGGCGCCCGGCCCCGCCCCTGCCCGGGGAGAGCGCGGGAGAGCCCCGGGACCTTCCCGGGGGGCGAGGAGCGCGGGGACCGCAGGCTCGCTGGACCGCGGCTGGAACCGGGCGGGGTGGGCGTGTGTGCGCACTCACGGGGGTGTGTGCATGTGTGGGAGAGCACATGCGTGTAGCGGTGCTGTCTTGCGTGTGCGCGGATGTCAGCGCCCTGGTGGCCGCGCGACCCCAGGCTGGCCGGGCTCCCGGGAGCTGCAGGTTCGGGAGGCGGCTTGGCCGTGTTCTGAGACCTGGGTACGGCGCTGGGGTCGGAGGGAGGGGGGGTCCTTCGCGCAGGTGTGGGCGGGGTGTAGGGACCATTGTGTGCGCCAGAGGATGTGAGGCTCGGGGTCTGCGTGGGGGTGGGGTGGGGGTCTTGTGCGCCAGCGCGGGTCCCTGGTCTCAGGTGAGTGTCTGTCCCCACCTGCGGAGTCTGACCCCATTAAGTGGAGTTGCTGGAGGACTCAGACCCGCCCTCTCCATCCCCCGCGGTGCTGACGCCCCCTTCTGGGCACCTTGCTCCGTCCGCCCTGGTGTGGCCCACCTAGGTGTGCGCTCACAGCGGGACGGTGGGGCGGACGGCTGAGTCCAGGGGTCGGGGTCAGGCCTCGGCTGGGAAGGAAGACAGTCCTCTAGGACCAAGCTCTTCCACGGGGCCTGCTCGGAGGAGGTGGCGTGGGAGCGCGGGTTCTTAGCTCAGGATTCCCGCTGAGCCTTGGCCGCCGCGGGCTCCCCCCCTCCCACCCAGGAATGTTCCTCTCCTCCAGCCTGTCCCCCCAGGGCAGGCCCCTGGGGGCCGCCTCGGCCCCGCCTCCGCTCCCCGGGAGCCCCGAAGGGGGTGATGCGGGCAGGACGCCTGGGTTTCTCCCCCCTCCCATTTCAGGGAGAAATTCCTCCGAGGTCCCCTCAGGCTCTGGGTTCCCAAAATAACCCTGCGGGGGAAGGGAGGCTGTGGAGGGAGGGGAGCGGGAGGGGCGCAGAGCGGAGCGGCGGGGTGCTGCAGGTGCCTTTGGGGAGAGGACCTGGGGGGGCCCGCTGGTGCATCAAGCAGCCCCCGGAGTTCTGGGTGGTCCCCATCCCCTTCGATCTTCTCAGCGCTGCTGCGACGCCGAGGGTGGGCTGGAAGCCTCCGGGCCAGTTCGTTTCCCAACTGGTGGGTTGCACCATCCTGGGCCGGACCGTTTCGCCCCGGGAGGGGCCTCGGCGGGCGACTCCGCCCCTGCCCAGCAGGGGGCGTGCCCGCCCCGCCCCGGTCCTGCCCGCGGGGCTGCCTGGGGCTGGCGCCTCCTCAGACTCCAGTTCTGCCTTTCCCGGGACAGAGGTCGGGTTCGAGCCCCACTGGGCCCAGCGCCGGCGGCTATGGCGGGCACCCTAGACCTGGACAAGGGCTGCACGGTGGAGGAGCTGCTTCGCGGCTGCATCGAAGCCTTCGGTGAGTGGAAGGGGGCACGACCCTCCCGAGCCCAGCCTGGACCGCGACCTCCCGGGCCCGGTGACCCAGCTGCGCATCCTGCAGCCTCTTTAACGGACGCCTCCTCCTCTCCCGGGGTCTGGGCGGGGGTGGGGGGTGGGGGGGCGTAGCTTCAGAAATGTTTCCCTTCCTTAGTTTGCCGGCGTCAGAGGGAGGGACAGGGTCCCTAGACGCACGAGGAACATTATCTGTCTCCCCGGGGAATCCGGAGGAACTCGCTATCTCCGGCCTGGGAGCTGTTTCCGGCTGATGGGGGTGGGGGGCGCTTATCTGGTGAAGGGGTGCCCCTTCCCTCCAGCACTCAGGAAATGACCTCTGGATTCTTGACCCCGGGAACCCAGGCTCCTTCCGCCCCAGCTGGTTCCCCTCCGGACGGACGATGCGCCCCGCTCAGACCCCTCCCGCCTCCACATCCCCGATCGTGCCTTTACCCCCCTCTCCCTCCCACCTTGTCTTTCTCTGCAGCCTCCAGGTTTTCCCAAAGCAGGAAAGCAGGAGGTGGTGGGGCGGGGCGGGTGGGCAGGAGGGAGGGCGCGATACCTGGCGACCTGAAGGATAGGGGGTGGGGACCACCTCTGCCTCGGGGCCAAGGGTCAACTCGTGTCTCTTTGACCCCTCGGAGGCAGATGACTCCGGGAAGGTGCGGGACCCGCAGCTGGTGCGCATGTTTCTCATGATGCACCCCTGGTACATCCCTTCCTCTCAGCTGGCCGCCAAGCTGCTGCAGATATATCCTTTGCCGATCTGGCCCAGGACCCCGCGGCCCCTCGGGCCGGGGAGAGGGCTTTTCCCCTCGGAGCGAGCGGGCCCCCCTGCCCCTGTCCCGGGAGGGACTCGGCACCACCCCTCCGCTGCCCCGCCCCCGCCCGTTCCCTAACCCCGGCCTGGCTCCCGCTCGCTCCCTTCTAGGACCTGCTCTCTGCTCCCACCCCGGCCCCGCCTCTTGTCCCTCTCCCAGCCCTCAGTGCCTGCTTGCAGCTTGGAGAAACTAGGCCTCCCGAAGCTCACCCCCTCACCCTCACCCTCACCCCCACCCCCGCCCTCAGCCCCCGCGCCCCGGGGCCCGCCCCGCCCCGCAGAGGCTCCGCCCCCAGCATGTTGCCTAGAAACTGGCCCCGCCCCCTGCCTGCCTGCCCGCGCGTTCGCGGCATCCAGGTTTTCCCTTAACTCGCCGCACTTACCAGCAGTCGCGGAAGGACAACTCCTGTTCGCTGCAGGTGAAAACCTGCCACCTGGTCAGGTGTGTCCTCTCGAGGCTCTGGGCATCTGTCTGCCTCCTCCTCTCTGGCTTCAGATTGCTTGGAACATGGTGCCATGGGTTTGGACGGGTTCTGCCCACGGTGGGCGCTGCCCATGGTGGGGTGGGAGTTGAGGAGTCAGATCTGAGGCTCTTTCCCGCTCTTGGGCGGGGTAGGAGGGAGAGGGGAAGGGCTTCCTGGGTTGACTGTGTGTCCCCCTACCCCCTCCATCCCCCCCCAGGTACTGGATCTCAGCCTTCCCTGCTGAATTTGACTTGAACCCTGAGCTGGCTGAGCAGATCAAGGAGCTGAAGGCC